AACACCGCAATGACCTAATCAAGCTATACTGGCTGAGACTTATGCCTCTTGAGGTCCTACCATGCCAGGCAGGTTGTTTGGATAGCGGTCAAACAAAAAGCAGCTACCCAATCCAACACTATGATACATACAAACTCACAAATATCATGCCAGATCCACTGGGGCCGGATTAACAACGACCGCGCTTCCTACTGCCGTGTCCCAGGGTAGGGGTGATAAATATGCTACTGAGACACACCAAACAATAAAAAACGAGGTTATTATTATTATTCCCTTGCGTCCCAAGTGGAACATAGGGTTAACTTCTACAACACATTTCCACTTTGTTCTGTTTTGTGCCATTCTCTTCAGGTGGGTCCATGATTGACTAAACTCTTTCATCTCTTCCTCACACGATCTCCTCCATATCGCCCTCACAATGACGACCCAGTCGTCGCTTCCCGTGGGGGTTCCACTCGAGTGTTGGCCTGGCGTGCGATGTCATTCGCCAGCCTCCTAAATGTTTCTTCTTGCTTATTCTTTCTGGCCATTTGATCTTCAGTATGAAGTCAGCCAGCGAAGTGGGCAGCTATTGATGAAAGCCTGCAGCCTGTTGGAAATCTTTTTCGTGACACGCAGTGCAAGTTTCTGACGCGTATAGAAGATACAACTTGACAATGGTGTTGAAAATGCGAATCTTGTCCCTTATGCTGAATGTGGAAGATTACGAAATGGGTTTCAGTTTGATGAAGGCGTATCTTGCCCTTCCGATTCAGGCTGACTTTGTCATCTTCGTCCGTTCCCCCTCTAGCTGAGACGATACTTCCCAGATAAGTGAAGGAAGTAACACCTCTGCTAAATATCTCCCGTTGATGATGGTGATTTGTGCTGGCGGTTCGTTGGTTATCTTCATCACCCCTCCGTCTTCTCTATGTCCACTTGGAGTCCTGTTTGTTGGTTCTCACTTGCAAGTTTCCACTTTGTATGGCATTCGATCTATATCATCTGCGAAATCCAGATCTTCTTCTAGATGAAGTCTTCTTATCGGTCGTCTAGCATATTCCTGACTCCTAAGCCACACCCCACCCCCCTCTTGCTGTAGTTATTTGGATAATCACTTACTTTGAACACCTAATGCAGATAGTCTTCCTTAAAGTCTGTGTGCTGCACTCCGTTTTGACTTTTGAAAATAATGTCTTTATTAGATACCGGATGATTACTATTGTAGTTTGCATCTGTGTGAATAGTATCCCTGCGTACTACTTTTAAGCAAGCTGCCATCATGAGTTGTATTGATGAACAGAAGGGAGACCTAATTTTCTATAGTTTGGTTTGTAAGGGTTTGTTATGTTTTTACGAGTTGATCATGGATTGATATCAGTTAGAGAACCATTGAAAACCAGGGAGTACTGGACAGCTGCTGTTTCATCCTAGTTTGGGAATCATCGGCAGTACGCACCCACTGGGATTCGAACCCAGGACCTTCCGGTTACAAGGCAAGCTGGCTCGTATACCATTCAGCCACTGGGACCCGATTCAATGGCTCATCAATTCTAACTTCTACCAATTCGTGATTTAGCGCGACCTTATTTATTGCTTCCTCTGTAGAATGAATTCTTCCAAATGATTTACTAATGAGTTCGAAGGTGTTTTTTTGTTATTTCACTGACTTCGGAAATGACTCTATGCATCAGTGGTTCAGAGTTGAATGCTGGCTAACCGTTCATGTGGTTTGGGGCTCAATTCCCCGCCAGTTATAATCCCGACAAAGAGGGGAGGTTGGGCGCGAGGCTATCAACCTCACACCGTGAAAAAAACAAACAAACACACCACTGCTTCTGAAACTTCAGAGCTCAAACCTGAAACCCCATGATTCACTCGGAACGCAAAGGAATAAAATAATAATAATAATTGAAAATGACGAAATTATCTTTGATGTATTCGGTATAAGCTGTAGGTTTGATCATTAGAATGAAATCAGCAATCATTCCTGATATTCTTCTTTTTCTTTCTTTCACGTTCCCAGTGGAACATAGGCGGCTTCAAGCCAGTGGGTTGAAGTTTCTATAGCAGTGTTTATTTGTTTTTACTGGATGGGGTTGCTAGCCTCATATGCTCAAACCTTCCCTCTTTACTAGTCTTATAACTGGCTCAGCGAGGTAAAGGAGTGCCTCGTCGGCTGGGGATCGAACCTTGGACCATGTGCGTGGTCGACGAGCGTCCTAACCGCTATGCCACCAACACACATTCCTGATATTGATTACTGTGATTCTCTTATGCCTTAAAAGACTTTAGTCGTTTCTTTGACCAAGTATGTATGGCTTAACTGAAATGAAAAACGCAGGTTTTCTACTAAACTCATGCCTCCAACCTCTCCTGTCTTTACCGAGCTTACTGTTGGTTAAGCGAGACTCAGTAGCACGTCAGCCGGATATCGAACTCAAGGACACCTTCAATGACTGGTAAATATTCTACTACTGAGCCAACTAACGTACCAAAATTTTGGAAAACCACGGAGTATTGGACAACCGTTTCGTCCCAGTTTGGAACTCTTCATCCGTATACACTCACCGTATTTTGAGCCCAAGATGAATGGAGAGCCTTTGGATCATTCAGCTACTGGGATCTATGTACTCCTTCGACTGAAGTATTCATATCCTGTAATAAAAAGAAGGTTCGAAAGTCCTTTTAATTATCCTCTTCGCTATACATACCCGCCCAAGTATTCATTAAGCACCATTCTACTGAGGGTGTGTGGCATGAAGTTTGTGTCAAAGACACTGTACACTGATGAACTAGTTCCCATCTGCCTGTCTGTTTTCGACATAGAACTTTGCACCGATGTGCAGCAGTTCAAGTCGCCACACTCCACTCCTTGTAGCACACAAAGCAAGAGAAGAAATGCATAATAAAGACTGTAAACAGAGGTGTGAGACAAAGGAATAGTAATAACGAAGAAGAAATCAGTTTCATTGGAAATCATATGTCACAAGGAGTGGATGCATCTGCGCTAACCATTGAGAATGATTTTGAGCCATATCCCCAATTGTCTCCAGCCTTCACTGGTTTTTACCGTCCCGAGGACCCCAACCAGTCAGGTTGTCTACATCTTCCTACGTGGCTGGCTGGCTTAAACTAACTATTGAGGATTTCATTGACTGGCGAAGTGATGTTTTTGTTTGACCACCGCTAGCTAGCTCTTTTCCAGCCTGACCCTATAACAGCCAACATTTCCCGATGTGGAGGAAGGCGATGACTAGGCGTGTGTGCGTAACACATGTCCTAACCATCTCAGTTTATGTAGCTTCACAGCCTCGTCGATTGATTTCCTCTCCGACCTACTGATATATATCCATATAATATGTGTGTTTTGTTTGACATTCTGATATATTTTGCTATGTATATATGGATCGATATTCCATTATAATTAGCTAATCATGTTAAGACTGTCTATTGATTTGTTCAATTTGAATATACGCTCACACACTTGTTCGGATATTCATATATATTTTTCTCTCACACTCTTGTGTGACATTTTGATTCTCCTTGTGTTTGGAAAATAGAAGTATCATCGCAAACCTAGTGGTCTTCTGATTTCCGTCTTTCTTGCGTCAGGACTATTAAATTCTCGACCAGTACATAACAATAATTTGGCGACGAGTACATAATACCTACCTAGCGCTCGACCGACGCCTAACCTCAATATTGCTCACTCTATTATACCACTTCACACGGGAGATAGAGTGCAAGCACCTATGATCAAAGACAGCTAGTCTTTTCATGAAATCCCGTCTACTTTTCACACATATATTTGTATATATATTTACAATAAAACAAAAAGTAATGAAAAGAGAAGTATTAAGGAAAAACAAACACATAATTTCTTTTCCCATATTTTTTGTGTGTTTGTTCGTTAGTGGTTAGTTTGTTATTTTTACTTTTGAAAACTCAATAATTTAAGAAAAAGACCAGAGTATGCACATACTCACAGACACACACGCACTTGAACACAAACACAGAGGGATGTAATGAACTAACTAATTTATGGGGAAAAATCATTTTGTGTACAACGCAGTAACTTGGGGGTGGGGGGAGGCACCGCAGAGGACAGTGGCGGCCACGGTCGCAGGAGGGGGGGGAAAGGTCAGATTGAAAAGAGAAAAAAAGAATGAAAATAATGATGTAACAGATATATATGATGGTGTTGACGACAATGGATGAAATGAAAAATAAGAGGAGTAAAGAGTTCCCTGTTTTTGTTTCTCTTATCTCCCCCCCGCTTATTAATCAATATCACTTCATCAGGAGGGTGGATAGGGAAAGAAGGAAGACAACTGACGAATTACTACTGACGATATAGACACAAACACGTGCATATTAAAGGTGGAAAACGATGAATCCCAGGAAGTTGTCTGGCGGTGGTTTAATTTTCTTCAAGATATTATTTTTAAAAAAATGAGAGAAACTGAAAGATTCCATTCGACGGTTATCATCGAAACAACGACGAAAACAACAACAACAACAACAATAACGCCGGTGACGACGACGAAGGATGGATTGATGCGCCAGGGGAGTTATGATACACTGACGCAAAAAGGTTGAAAGAACAAAGGTTTTAAAAGACAGCACTACTCACTAACAACTACATCAACAGGTTTAGAAGAGAAAAGTACACACACAGGGAGAGAGTGGCGGTACAGACAAAATATGCAAAAATTCAAAATGACGAAGAGGAGCATGGAAAATCAATAGAGAAAGATAAAATTTATGGTATTGACAAAAAAAACAAATAAATAAATAAATTGCTGCGATTAATTTCATTTTGCATTTTTGAGCAAAAAGAGTTAAACACGATTGTTCCTGTTTTCTATGTCTCACCAAGACGGATGTTGACGAATGATGGTGACGATTGTGTTTCCCTGTGGTCAACGCGACGTGATAATGAGTGATTATACACCCACCCACACACATGCATACAAAGAAAGTTAAAATGACTAGTTATATATATATATATATATAGTTTATTTTTTATCGACGACATTAGGATTCGATGGTGCTGCAGACGACGACGGCGACGACGTTGTTGGCATAATTAAAGGCTGAATAATCTCGGCATAATATGAACCGAATACATGTCGATTATGCGCCAATAAAGGAAGTAGACGACTCGCTAAACCGGATAAACTCAATATTTCAAATTTTGACGCTTTATAACCACCAACACCACCACCACTTTCCGATTCATGACGGAGACGATTATGTGGACTGGAAGGAGGTGGTGATGAAGGTGAACGTAAATTGCTACTACTACTGGTGCTAGCAGCAGCTGAAGCATTAGCTCCACCACTACCAGACATCATTGTTGTCGGGATATTCAGCGGGGTTTGATGCAGGTAAGCAGCACCATTATTGCTTGTTGTTGTACTAAGTTTATTCTGATCAAGATCTAAGAGAATACTGAATCCTGGCGGTAGAGGTAGCGGTTCTGGTGGATAAGATGATAGAGCAGAGCGTAAAAATCCATAGCTCGTTTATCTAATAAAAAACAGGGGGAAAAAGAATGAAAAATCAATAATCAGTCTTTCTGATTTGACACCAGTAACTAGTGTGATGCGTCTAGTCCTCTGATTGGTGTACACTGTATTCTATCAGTCAGATTGTAATGTGACCACCATTCTAGCTAACTCGCCATCACTGTGTACACTGATTTGATGGTATTGCATTCTCAGTGGAGCATATAGACCAACAAGCATGAGCTTTGAACTTTCAGTAGCAGTGGTGCTTGTTGTGTTTTACGAGATGGATTGTCAGCCTCACACCACACCCCCTCCATATCTATCGGCCTTATCATCAGTCAAATGAGGTCTATGAGTGCATCGGTCCTGAATCTAATCCCATACCACACCTGCGTTGCTGACTAGCATTCTATCAACCAGTAAAATTTAACTCCGTCTATCGAACAACTTGCTCTTCGGTGCAATCAAAATCGATAGATATCCTTCTCATGTTAACAACTCCAACTGTATATACAAATTTATATGTATCTGCGTGAGCAGTTACATCGGAAGGACAGAAAAAAGAGTATATCTACGATTTTCTGAAAATGTACCAAAAAGCTTATGTCTAAAGGGAACAGATGCTTTAAACAGTGCCATTGCCAGGCATCGTCTTGACACGGGTCATGAGGTGGACGTCTCAAAGTCATTCAATTCAATAGGCAAAAGAGTTCAGTTCAGCTCAAGTTTGATGAAGACATCTCCATCAAGCGCCTGAAACCTGTTTTATGCGTCCAGAAAGAAGCGGTTATCAGTCTTTCGTTGCCCTGCTAACTGGATATTTTCATCTGAAAAGTTTCAAATGTGTATGATTGTTCGGAATAGTGTTTAATATTATATATATATATATATTACTGTATGCGCCAATCACCACCAACAGGAGGGATTTGAAAGAGGTCACTTCATTCACTCACTTATCTAGGGAGCATTGTCTCAACTACAGGGAGTCGGAACCAACGAGGATGTCAAGTCGAACGAGAATCGGGTGGTGGGCGAGAAACACATTCATCAACCTGAAACCAATCGGGAAATCTGCGTCACTCAGCCAGCATCAACAACAAAATCCGGTGGGAATTTCAATACAAACGTCAAGACAGTCAGTTCTTCTATACGGATCAGAAACTTGGTGGGCGGGTCACAAAGGATATTTCCAACAGCCTGTTGCAGACCTTTATCAACAACTGTATTCGCTCTATACTGAAGATCAGATGGCCGGGCCGGAAAGAATCACCAACAACAAGAAACTATGGGAACAAACAAACAAAACAAGAACCAATCGCCCAACAACAACATGTATGCGGGAGAAAGTGGAGATGGTTTGAACACTCGTGGCTGAGTAGGCCACTGGGTGACATCGCGCGCGCGTCAGGCCCACAAGTGGAACCTGAAAGGGAAGCGGCGAGTAGATCGACACTGCAAGGGTGACATGGAGGAGATCGTGTGAAGAGGAGGAGTTGAAACAGTATGGACTAACTAACATGGATGCAGGTGAAAAATACAGCAGAAGGAAGACAGAAGTGGCAAGTGGAGACGTGCAGTTGAAGCCCTATGTTCCACTAGGAACCCAAGGGAACAATAATAATAATAATATAATTACTGTATGCATATATTGATCGACTGATTTTTGTTTTTGTAGATATATTTAGTAATGTCTTTGTCCTGTTAGCAGCTGACGAAAAGGCAACGAAATAAATGATCGTACCACTTTATTTATTCTGCTAAAACTGTAGAGTTCTTGCTTTGTTCAAATAGTTAACTCTCCGTTGACCAATGTATTCAAGTTGATTTACAACCAATTCGTATCACGTACCAAATGACTTTTAATAAGTAGAAATAATCATATCTAAAATACGGTATCGATCATTCATCAAGGCACAGGATAATATAGAGCGCTTAAAGGAATACAGGAATCTAACTACATAAGTAGTCATTACAGCGGGCATCACTATTGACACACGAGAAAATGTTGATACACGGTGATCATGGTTGTTATATTTTATATTACAGAGAGAGAGAGAGAGAATGAATGACGTCATCCAGAAACCAAGGAAGCATATTTATCAACAACGCTCATCATTTCATGTTACTTTCAAAAAGGGAAGCGTCGGTGGCACAGTGGTTAGGACTCTCGCCGACCATGCACATGGTCCGGGGTTCGAGCCCACGCCGGCGCACACCTGATATCTATGGTCGGCCTGCAAAATTTGGCCTACCGAGAGTCGTGATGTACCAGCCGGTGCTAGACATACCTAGCCATCGCCTTTTTCAACAGTCAACAATCTTAGCTGACATAGAATGGAACAGGTTGGAAAAGAGAAGGCTACTGGTGGTCTAACCAAAACATGGTCTCATCAACCAATCGAATCCACAACGGTTAGTATAAGCCAGTTACATATGGGGGTGTAGACTTCCTGACTGGTTGGGGGTCCTCGGGATGGTAGAAACCTGAAGAAGCTGAAGACAATCGGTGATATGGTTCAAAATTGTTCTCTTTGTGATCTATAATATCCAATAATATTCTATTGTTCTCCCATATTAATATTCTTGTTGCCTCACATTTCTGTTTATTATCTCTTTTTTTTGAAACTTTCCTAACTCTCTTCTCTTGCTTTGTATGCTATATGAAGTATGGTAACTCGAATTGCTGCACATCTCTGCAGAGTTCTACGTTGAAACCAGTTAGTCAGTTAGTTTTTCTATATAGATCAGGGACTTAGCGGGTCATGAAACGCATATCTAACAGGCGGCAGATTTTTAACAACAGCTAACTTCGCTCCATACTGATGATTAGATGCCCAGTCAGAAATGATGAGCAACAAGAAAGAAACTCTGAGAACGAACCAACAAACAAACAAACAATCTATTCCTCAGGAAATATGCTAAAGAAAATGGAGGTGGTGGAGGAATACGCTGAGGAGGGAGACCTTTGGATGACATAATACATAACGTTAGATCCTCGAATGGAACCCGAATGGGAAACAACGAGTGGGGGCGTCTGAGAGTGAAATGAAGGTGAACGTGTGAGGAGGAGATGAGAGACTATGGGCAGTCGTGAAACCAGCTTTAAGAGAAACTCGGAGAACGGGACAAAATAGAGATGTGCTGTTGAGGCCCTGTCTTCGACTCGAAACCCAAGGGAATAATAATAATAATAATAGTTGTTTACAGGATTTCATCATCAGCTGACATTGGCTAGAGAACCATTGGAAAACCTGGGAGTACTGGACAGCTGTTTCGTCCTAATTTGGGACTCTTCATCAGTGCGCACCCACCGGGGTTCGAACCCAGGATCTTCTGGTTACAAGGCAAGCTCGTATACCATTAAGCCACTGGGACCCGATCCAATGACCCATGAATTCTAACCTCTGCCAATTCACGATATAGCGCAACCGTTGGCCAATATCTTCGGCGAGTATTTCTCCTCACACCCGACCTGCTGCACCCTACTGATCACGAGCTCATGATGAAATCCTGTAATCAATCAACCAAATCCCTACAAGCCAACACTTGAATAATAGTTGTACAAACTCGAAGACTTTAAGTTGAAAATCAACAAACTAGCAGCAGAAGAAGCAAGCAGCGAAGACACAACTCCAGGTGAACACACAGAGAAGACCGAGGTAATGAAGATAGTCAACCAACGAACAGCGACAACAGCAAAAAGAACCAACACCATTCACCATCAACGGAAGAAATTTGACAGAGGTAACTTCCTTCACTTGTCTAGAGTCAGTATCGTCGTTTCGCTACAGCCGGAATTGATGAAGATGTCAAAGCTGGGGCCAGTCAGAATCGGGAAGGCGGCATACAACTTTATCACACTCTGATATCAGTTTTAGAAATCTCCTGCATTCAGCATAAAGGACACAAGACTCGGATTTGAAACACTAATGCCAGTCAGACAATTCTTCTATACGGGTCAGAAACTTACACTGTATGTCACAAAAAGCATTTCCAACAAGTTACAAAATTTTATCAACAGCTGTCCCCTTTACTGGTTGACTGACTTCATACTGAAGATCAAATGGCCAGCCAGAAAGAATTAGTAACAATAAACTCTGGCTAGCTGGGAACAGACCAACAGGCGAGAGCCGATTACTTAACAAATTATGTAGGAGGAAATAGAGATGGATTGATCGGATATATGTTGAGGGGATCGGAGGATAACATTGCGCGAAATACAGGCCATCACTCGAGTGGAATTCACATAGGAAGCGACGAGTGAATCGTCAGTGTGAAGAAGAGATGAGAGAGGTTATGGACCCAGATGAAGAAGACAGCAGAAAATAGGAGAAAGTGGAGATTTGTTGTTGAAGCCAGCCCCCTCTGTTCCACCCGGAACCCAAGGGAATAATAATACTAATAGTTAAACCGAACTATAAACGAACTAAAACCAAGAAAGAGCTTAAAACAAGTCATATGATGCTATAAGTCATCTGAAAAGTATAGTTTAAACTCTAACTATTAATTATACAAGAAGTAGCAGTGGTTCAGTCACTTGATTTAATGTATATATATATATATATATATATATATATATATATTCTGTTTAACAAAGTGCACGAGGGGCAGAAATTTAGAAAAATAGAACAATTAACAGTCAATAAAATAAGCAAATGAATAAATAAATAAATAAGCGAATTACTTAACACTTACGCATTAGTTTATAAACTGGATGTTCACCTTTAATAACAGCTGACAATTGTCCAGTTAATTCTGTACGTCCAAAATCAGTAATATAAGCAACACCACCACCACCAGTTGCTGGTTTATGATAATCATTTACTACTGTCGGTGAAGATTCACACGATAGATTAGTAGATGGTAATTGACTAGCGCCACTGCTGCTGCTGCTGCTGCTGCCGCCAGATTCCAGCATACATCGATTATACCATAATTCTATTGTCATGATAACCTGTTCTATGATATCATCAACTAACTGATCAGGTTTGCTATAATAGGAAAGGAAAGAAAAAAGACAAGAACGATGGTTATACATTTGGTCAATCGACAGATGGCGTCACGAAACAGTGTATCAGTTGAAGGGATCATGGGAAAACCAGAGAGCACACAATGCACAGTCAGTTCACTGCCTGAAAGTAAGTTCTATTCAATTTAATCATAGAGAGACGTAGGAATTGACTTGCTACCAGGGAATAATCTCGTTGACCTAGAATATGCAGATGATATAGTACTTCTAGGCAAGAACGCTGACAAAATGAGGCAGAGTCTTCTGAACACCTTGAGTTGCAATCTACGAGTGTTTGGCATGCGATTCGCTCCCATCAAATGTAAGATGATGTTACAGGACTGGACTACACTGACTGCTAGCTTAGAAATAGGGAGTGAAGTGGCAGAACACGTTGACCGCCTCACTTATTTGGGAAGTTGCATCAGCCCCACCGGGTTGGTCTGTGACAGAATCTCAGAACGGATACAGAGGACTAGTTTGGCATATGCCAGTTTACGCCGTCTCTGGCTTAGTAGACATGATATCCGGCCAGCTGGCTGTCGACCAAAGGGCGGGTGTACTGCTCATCAGTCCCCTCTGTCCTCCTCTATGCCTGTGAGACCTGGCCATTGAGAGTGGAAGACATGAAAAGATTAGCTGTCTTTAATCATAGGTACCTGCGTTCTGTCTCCCGTGTGAGGTGGTATAATAGAGTGAGCAATATTGAGGTTAGGCGTCGGTCGAATGCTAGGTAGGTGGGAGGGGAAATCAATCGACAAGGCTGTGAAATTACATCGACTGAGACGGTTAGGACATGTGTTACGTATGCCTAGCCTAGTCACCGCCTTCCACAATATCGGGAAATGTTAGCTGATATAGGGTCAGGCTGGAAAAGAGCTAGCTAATGGCGGTCAAACGAAAACATGACTTCATCAGTCAATGAAATCTACAACAGTTAGTTTAAGCCAGCCACATAGGAGGATGTAGACAACCTGACTGGTTGGGACGGAAAAAACCAATGAAGGCTGGAGACAATTGGGGATATGGCTCAAAATCGTTCACAATGGCCAATGCAGATGCATCCACTCCTTGTGACTTATGATTTCAAATGAAACTATATTGCTCTTCGTTATTACTATTCTTCGTCTCGCACCTCTATTTACTGTCTTTATTAAGCATCTCTTCTACTTTCTTCTTTTGCTTTGTGTGCTGCATGGCGGGAGAAAGGGTACTCGAGCTGCTGTACATAAGTGCAAAGTTCTATGTCGAAAACAGACAGACACAGACAGTCAGTTCGTCCTATTTTAGAACTTTTTATCAGTGTTTACCCCACCAGCGACCTTGCGTGACCGCAGAGCCCAGGGGACAACTGCTTGAGGCCGGTAACACGCGGCCTGTTTTTGTTCGTTCTTTTTTTGTTTGGTGTGCCTCAGTAGCATACTTATCGCTCCTGCCCTGTGACACGGCAGCAGGAAGCGCGGTCGTTGTTAATCCGGGCCACGGCCGATCCGGCATGAAATTTTGTGATTTTGTATTTATCATGATGTTGGATTGGATAGCTGCTTTTTGTATGACCGCTATCCAAACAACCTGCCTGGCATGGTAGGACCTCAAGAGGCATAAGTCTCAGCCAGTATAGCTTGAATAGATCATTGCGGTGTTCAAGCCCGACCACCACGTCAAGGTAGCAGCTTTCGGTCGGGAAATGAAGTGGTAGAGCACGTTGACCGCTTCACTTATTTGGGAAGTACCATCAGCCAGTGCCAACGGGTTGATCTCTGACGAAATCTCAACACGAATACAGGGGGCTCGTTTCGCATTCGCCAGTTTACGCCGACTCTGGCATAGACGAGATGTTCGACTATCGACCAAAGGGCGGGTGTACTGCTCATCAGTCCGCTCCGTCCTCCTTTATGCCTGTGAATGAGACATGGCCACTGAGAGTGGAAGACATGAAAAGACTAGCTGTCTTTGATCATAGGTGCCTGCGCTCTATTTCCCGTGTAGTGGCATAATAAGGTGAGCAATATTGAGGTTAGGCATCAGTCGAGTTCTAGGTAAACTGGGGAAATCAATCGACGAAGTCGTGAAGTTACAAAGACTGAGATGGTTAGGACATGTGTTACGTATGCCAAGCCATCGCCTCCCTCGACAAGCAATCTTAGCGGATATAGGGTCAGACTGGAAAAGAGCTAGCGGCGGTCAAACCAAAATATGGCCTCATCAGCCAATGAAATCCACAATAGTTACTTTAAGCCACGTAGGAAAGTGTAGACTTCCTGACTGTTGGAGGTCCTCGGTAAAAATCTATGGTTGGAAACAATTGGTGACATGGCTCAAAATCGTTCTCAGTGGCGCAGATGCATCCACTCCTTGTGACTTATGATCTCCAATGAAACTGTTTTGTTTTTCTTTATTACTCCTTTGTCTCACACCTCTGCTCACTGTTTCTATTATGCTTTTCTTGTACTTTCTTCTCATGCTTCGCGTGCTACACGGAGTGTGGCGACTTGAACTTCCGCATATTTGTGCAAAGTTCTATGACGAAAACAGACAGACAGGCCAGCGACCTTCAGGTTGATTATTCAACTACTTCTGTCAATTTGTGATGTAACGCCTCCCTTCAACTAAACACCTCTGACGAGTATCCACAGTTCACCTTGATATATTGATGAAACCCACACTAGTCACGACTTCTCATTATATTTTCAAGACATCTATGCATCCAGTAGCCAACAATCAGCTGGCAATTGTCAAATTTCGTCACGAATCAAAATCAAGTTGAAACAGCGATTGAAAAAGCCACTAGTTTGATTCAATAGTCATCATTTAATAAATTGACGGGTAATTTAATACCATTTCAAATCCAGCCTCCATTGAATTTTAATTCCCTGAAAACCTTAACATTTGCAATTATTGTAGTGACTGACTCTACAGGATGAATTTGCTTGAAGTTCTGCTGAAAATTTGTGACTAGTGGGGTTCACCAAGTCGCATGTGAGAACAAATATTCACCGATAAAATTGACCAGTGGTTGTGCTATATATGTATGTACGGCGAATCGTGTAAAATACATCGGTTATTGACTGGGTGATTGACGAGCTGGCCTCATAACCTGAACGTCCTGGGTTTGATCCCAGCTGGAGCGGTAGTGAATGTCCACCACTGAAGAGTCATCGACTAGGATGAAACGACTGTCAAGTGCTCTCTGATATTCAGTGATCTCTAACTGATAGCGGTTTGTGACGAAAACCATCTGTTAGAAGTAATCCAAATCCCATAGTCCGAAAATATGTCATTTAAGTCTTTTTTTCCCCTTCACGTTCCCTGTGGAACATAGGGCTTGAAGTTTCTTGTAGCAGTGTTTGATTTTACAGGATGAGGTTGCTAGCCTCATATCCAACCTTTCCTCTTTACCAGCATTATTTCCGGCTTAGCGACGTAAAAGAATTGCGTCGGCCGGGAATCGGACCCAGACCATGTGTATGATCGGCGAGCGTCCAAACCGCCATACCACCGACGTATTTAAGTCTTTGGTAGTAATATAATGTAATGTTGTGCAATATGACCAATTTACAAACGAAAAAAGTCAAGCAACAATAAAATGACTACATGATTTTATGTACTACTAATTGATAGAGATGAGTAGCTGTATACTACTCACATTAACTAGTAGTGTGGCGAGAGCTGTCTGTTAGCTAAAATCGGTAGGCAGCAATTTACATCAATGTTTACGTCTCATATCTTGATCATGAGAGAAAAGAAAGAACAAAGACTAATTCAACAACCAATCACAGCAGACTTTGCGTGGGCGGATACGATTCGCAGATATATGGTCTGACCTTTAAAGAATCGGCCACAAAGAGATGACAGATTAATGAAAACAAAACACGTAGATCAACGAAGAGTCTCTTTCCGGCGAATTCATCCTCTTAACTGTACAATCGAAATGCTATAAAGTTATATAGACTAAGATGGCTAGGTCACGTGCTGCGCATGCCTAACCACCGCCTCCCCCGACGGGTATTACTAGCTGATATAGGTGGTGCAGGTTGGAAAAGAGCCAGTGGTGGCCAAACAAAAACATGGCCTCATCAATCCATGAAATCCTCCCTGACAGTTAAACTGATGAGTCAGGTAGGGAGATGCAGACTTTCGGGTTGGGGCCTCCGGGACTGACTCTAAGAATCAATGGCTGGAGACAATAGGTGACATGGCTCAAAATCGTTGTCAATGGCCAGCTCAGATGTATTCAGTCTCTGTAATCTTTCATATTCCTTTCTACTACATTACCCATTCTGTTTCACTCTTATACTTGTCAAACTCTATTGATTCTCTCCACTCATCTTCTTGTCTACCTTTGTGTGCTATTTGGAACGTGGCAACTCGAACTGGTGCACTTGGGTGCCAAGTTCTATGTTGAATCCAGACAGACAGACAATCGCAAATACATTTATGCTATTTTGTATGTATGTGTACATTAACTTTGTCAAACGAAATTACAATTGGTTATGGTTATTTTAACTAAACAGGTGAAGATTGGTAATACAAGTCAAGAAAATTAGGTGTTAATTAAATTAGGGTAGTAACAAAGGTGATGAGTTGTCACAAACAGTTGTTAAACAGAAGTTGTATATGAATATTATATGAATAGTTTGATGAGTGAGTTTTACTCAGGATGCACATAGAAACAAAGTAGATAATATGAAATTACGCAAGAGTTCTGAATGAATACATGAATTATAAGCAATTAAAGAACAGGCAAAGAAACAAAATTAAGTCATCAAAACCGAGAAAAATCAAATCAAAAAAAAGTTGTTACCATGACAGTAGAAGTGGTTGAGTAATCCTCTTTTGTATGCACAGCTCCGGTTTTTCTATGTGAATGGCCAGAGTTTCAGCGATACAAAGGAGACGAAACCGTATTGCCTTTGATAGGTTATTCTTGACTCTGTAGATAACTTTGAAGGAGGCGTTTGTTAAATGGAGTGATCAGTGTTAACTTTGTGTTCAATTATCGCATTCCTTATTGCACCACTATTGCCTTTTCACAATCTTGCTGGATAGTGTTCTTGAATCCTCTTGGACAGGGTGCGCGTCGAACGACCGATGTAGCTGGCTAGCTCCGCAGCAGCAGATGAACTGATATATGCACATAGAAGTGGTCAAAGGCGGGACCTTGTCCTTGAGACTTCTGAAGATCAGTGGGCGACTGGAGAACACTATTCTTAGTGTTGCTGCAAAGAATGTTCTTCTCAGAGATGATGTGATCCTTCTCTTGAGAATATCGCTTGCTAAACCTCCCTTGAAATCCAAGTTCACGTAGAGTTTCTTTTTAGGCGCAATTAAAGTTTCGTTTCTCCGAATTATTGGTTTGATATTTTTGTCGATATATCTTATTGGGTATCCATTTTGGATGAAGATTTCTCTTAGAATATCTAAATCTGTTTCCAGAACGTCGGAGATGACAGATTAACTTTTAGCGAGAAAACCAATCAGAAGACGCTGTTTCTCTGCTTCGAATAACGAATAATAATTGTTATGTACTCGTCGCCAAATTATTGTTATGTACTGGTCGAGAAATTAATAGTCCTGACGCAAGAAAGATGGAAATCAGAAGACCACTAGGTTTGCGATGATACTTCTATTTTCCAAACACAAAGAGAATCAAGTCACACAAGAGTGTGAGAGCAAAATATATATATATGAATGTCCGAACAAGTGTGTGAACAAATCAATAGACAGTCTTAACATGATTGGCTAATTATAATGGAGTATCGATCCATATATACATAGCAAAATATAGCAGACATTTCAACAAACACACATATTATATATAATATAAGGGGAATATACATTGTTAAAGGAGACAGGTTCATCAAAGTGAAATGGTCACAGACTAAGAGAGCAACAGAAAGAGAGACCACCATACACATATATATATGTCACTTGATCTCCTAAATAAACGATGCGTAGCCTGGCTCTTGTTTTCTGTCGTTACAGTAGTACTTGCTAACCGGCCAACTCTAAGTGATCTGAACAGGGTACAGTCATTTTGCTGGTTTGGCGGAACGCTAACTACGGATTAGTACTTTTCAAAATCTGACTAGATGAAGTCTGCTTAGGATCCATGATTAACTAACTAACTAAATAACTTGACCAATCACTGACTGACTTGTTGCCTTCATCTTGATGATATAATGACAAAAAAGAAAGGGAACAAAGGCATAAATAAACTTACTAATTTAAAGAAATCCCATGTAATATCGGTGCAACATCTTGACATATTGACTTTTTCAACTGGATTATTGCATCTTGAGGTAGGCTAGTGGATAACGGATGGGAAAATATTGTTTTTGTTGGCGGAGCAGCTGATGACAATGCACCACTGGTAGTTGTTGCTGGTGGTGTTGTGAACAATGATGCATTTGATGCCATATAATTACAAACAACCAGAACTAAAGATGTTAAATTAACAATTATAATTAATTGATTGCCTAAATCCACAAGACGATGTTGATCCATAAGCATAGTCTATAATGCAAAAATAAAGGAAGAGGAAGGAAAAAGGACAATAGATTTAGTGTACAGAAACGTGGGAATCCACTCAGCATTATTGATATTGGTTCTAACTGGTTCCTTGATATGTATCCATATATATATATATATATATATATATGGTGGTCTCTCTTTCTGTTACTCTCTTAGTCTGTGACCATTTCACTTTGATGAACCTGTCTCCTTTAACAATGTATATAATATGTGTGTTTGTTGACAGTCTGACCTTGGTGACATATATCCATATTATGTGTGTGTTTGTTGAAATGTCTGCTATATTTTGCTATGTATATATGGATCGATATTCCATTATAATTAGCCAATCATGTTAAGACTGTCTATTGATTTGTTCACACACTTGTTCGGACATTCATATATATATATTTTGCTCTCACACTCTTGTGTGACTTGAATTCTCTTTGTGTTTGGAAAATAGAAGTATCATCGCAAACCTAGTGGTCTTCTGATTTCCGTCTTTCTTGCGTCAGGACTATTAATTTCTCGGCCAGTACATAACAATAATTTGGCGACTAGTATATAACATTCCTGTCATCATAAACGACCTGGTACGGTCGCGGGTAGGTGGGTAGACTTCGGCCCTCCTTTGCAAATGTTATTATGTTGCCTTTGTCACTGACCTACATGCGGCGCCGGTGTTCCCCCATCAAAACTGAAAGAACGACAGTACTCAACGTCCAGTCCACTAACGTATTCTACAACACTGTCCAGCGTTGGTTAACCAGCCAGAGGAGAAAAGACGAATAGCAACAGTTCTATCCTCAAACACACATCGAGCACCCCTTCATGAATGCTTCACAGTGTTACTTAGAGTCCCTCAATATTGTACAAAGGGACTTCTCGGTGAGTGATGATGATGTTCTCACCGACGCTCGAACCCAGTGCCCATAGTTTCAAACGCCAAAGAGGCCGACATGTCAACCTGAGACCGAGCACTTCGGTCCAATCAATCGACGGGAAAATCAAAAATTCAATTCAATAACATTGCTTTTTCTTACAGATTTCATGTAAAAACACTCTATCGCCTTTCCAATAGTTCCTGTCCATTCTAAACCAGCTTATTGATTAGTCATCACCTCACACTTATTAATTCATGCCAACTTCTGCCTCTTTTCCAACTTACAGTTAGTCATCCCTTCTAGGTTACAACTTACACTATGTAATACATTTTCCGAGGACAAAGTCTACCAGTGTTTGATTGGTCTAAAGATTTCATTGTTAAATATAACTACGATATAATTACAGCAGTTTATGAAAATAAATCGTCAAAAAGGGAAAACTTTCTTCACTGTTTGCGCCTTTTTCTTACAAATGAGAACGTCGGGCGCTTACAATAAATAGGACTGGTGGATATTCTAATCTACTAAGGAGAGCTGGAAAACCCTGATGACAATTATTTATTTATTATTTATTTAAACGCATAAAAACTTGGTACAATATGGCACCAAGAAAGATGCGCCACACAATAATAATAAAACAACATAGATCAAAAAAAAGGAAGGAAGGAAAAGAAAAAATATATATAAGTAGAGAACGGATAAAGAACTTCATCTGGAAGGAAAACAGTCATGCTTAACAAGTTCAAACAGTGTTCGTTAGCTATCATCGGGAAGGGAAGAAAGAAGGAGATAGCAACACATTCGCCACTGATTACGATTCTTGGCCATATCCGATAACGTTTCGAGCCATCGATTTGAGCTATCTCTCGGACCCCAACCAGGGAGTTGTGACACACCAACCGATGCTAATCTAGCACAAAAATCCTTCATCCCACGACGCCACGTCATGGACTGACCACCTCTCCGCCTTTTCCATCCCGTCCCAGGGCGAGCGAACAGAGACCTGTACGAAAGCCTCTGGGGTGACATTCGGAGCACATGTCCAAGCCACCGGAGCCGGTGTTTCCAGATGACGACATTCAATGAATGGTGATCTCCACTTTGTTCAAACACACGCCGCCGGACCTCAGAATTACTCACGCGATGATGCCATCGAACGCAAGCAATCCTGTGAAGACAGCGGTGATCGAACACGCAGAGTCGCCGCACATCCTCAGCTCGGAGAGGCCAGGTTTCACAGGCGTAGAGCAGCGCAGCCCGCACCGAAGCACCCTGATGACAAACCAGTGGTGTGTGTATATGGCCTCCAGAATTTGAATGGATCGAATGGCGTATGAACCTGTTTTGGTCACTGGAAACCATAGGAATGCTGCCCCCAGTGACTTTTGAATCAGACTTCCAGTCTGAGGCTCAGGTAGTGGGATGGTCGGTTAAGATAAGCAAACACTTACTTCTGTCTGGGAGTCGAGGCAATGTAGAGGCCATCGCACAAACTATGAGATTCTGGTCCTCATGAAGTACTCAGTTTGATTCTAAGCAGAAATCTTCATGAGTAGGGAAAATGTTGCCTACTGACTTATGTGTACTGGATTTTCAAACACACTTCTATCGCATATATATTATGCACGATAAGTCATCCCCTTCCTCGTGGAGCAGTGTAAGCTGACATAGAATGAGGCCAGAAAAGTCAGACGGTCATCCAACCGAAACGCAGCATCAAATCCATGTTAGTCTTTGACTGTTGGTCTGAGCCAGCCACGTAAGGGAATGTAGACTATTTGGGCGGGGTCATCGAGGGACTAAGAACCAATGGCTTGAGAGACTGTTGGCGATATGGCTCAAAATCGTTACCAATGATAAAGAAGCAGTCAGCCTTTCTAATCTTCTAGGTCGACTAAGTTCTCATTTTTCGTCCATGTCATTATTCTGTCTTCTGTACATTTCTGGTCATTATAGTTCTTGTTGTTATTACCCTGAAACTCAATCAGTATCAGCCTAGCGAACCAGTGAATGTTAGGATTATATAGGCGTTGTCAAAAATCTCATTGTCACCCACGAGGAAACGAAAATATGACTTCAAGGAAATCAACGACACAAGTTGAAAAAAGGCTATTGAAAAAAACAACAACAGTGAATTGAAACTATCCATTGTTGATTTGTAAGTTTGTGAGAATAATCACTGAGAACCAATTCGAATACTGAAAAGGCAGTTCGTTCTACTGTGGAACTCCTCATCAGGATCGGGCCCAGAGACTTTAATTCATGAGGCAACCACATTACCATTCAACTAGTTGGACGGTTCGCAAAGAAATAAAACTTGAAATCAATTAGTTATTGACGAGTGTCAGCAGGCGCGATAAAATAGATCTGGCACTTTCTGCCGACCACCTCTACACATCTAGCATCAGTTTCTTACTGTCTATCGCATAAATACTGGAAAGGTGGGCACGAATCACGTGCTGCTACCATCTAGGAAGTCTCGTGGAGAGAAACAGATCACCACAAAAGATTACACATCCGGATTTGAGAGAATGAAGGAAAGGGGACTAGCGATCCAATAAATGGGAAACAGTATTATTCAACGAATCAGTCACAGACCAAGAAAGGTGGGTTGGGACATAAAGGAGGATTGCAACGCCTCCACTGTGAGGTCCAAAAACGAATAATTGTTGAACACGCATCAAAACAGGGACAACAAATCAACAAAATGCTACTGAGGAAGATGTTGGTTCAACCACAGAAGATTATGACCAGTTCACTTTCAAGATGACTTGAAGAAATGACAGTACTAACATTTCTAAGGAGTGATGTCTTAAAAGTCCTTAAATTGTCTACATTATCAATTTATTTTGCAAATTAACATTTGAATGATTGCTTTAAAAACTTTGTCACATCATAGATTTTGAAGGACTGCAACTCACATATCTATTCAAAAACATTTTTCCCATTGGTTTGTCAATTATTTCGGGATAGTAAATAAACTCGCAACAATAAGACTATTATAATACTCTTCTCTTTGTTCTGATGGCTGGTTTATTTATAGGACGTTAGTATGCGTCATACATCGGAACCATTGCTCTTATTCGCAAATACCACACTTTTCTATAGTTTGCTTTGTAAGGGTTTGTTATGTTTTTACGAGTTGATCACGGATTGATATCAGTTAGAGAACCATTGAAAGCCAGGGAGTACTGGACAGCTGCTGTTTCATCCTAATTTGGGGATCATCGGCAGTGGGATTCGAACCCGGGACCTTCTGGTTACAAGGCAAGCTGGCTCGTATACCATTCAGCCACTGGGACCCGATTCAATGGCTCATGAATTCTAACTTCTACCCATCCATGATTTAACGCGACCCCAACCATTGTTGTTGGTGGGACATCCATCCACATACGTGACATCTAATTGGACCTAACAGGTCACGACTTCTCACTAGAACTCAGGAAACTCCAACCTGTAGCAAGTCACTAGCGAGCATCAGATTAATTTTCTATAGTTTGGTTTGTAAGGGTTTGTTATGTTTTTTACGAGTTGATCACGGATTGATATCAGTTAGAATTCATAAGCCATTGAATCGGGTCCCAGTGCCTGAATGGAATACCACACTTATTTAATTTTTAGTGAATGATGACTAGCAGTGGAATCCAAGATGTGCATTTCGTCCTGCTTTGGACTCGTCATCTGGATGTACCTGCAATCGAACATTTCGGTGTAATTATGCGATAGGAATTACAGAATACACCTGGACACAAGGAGATGACTTTCACGACCCAAGTGTACTGATGCATAGGGCTTTGGAGATTGAAACGATGGGTGCTGAGTTCGAATCTCACCATCGAAACACCATCACTTATTCGGAATTACAGGTACAACCAGATGACGAGTGCCAAACAAAACGAAGCTCTTCATCCTGGATTCCACTGCTACTTACCGTCCATCAAATAACATCATGTTCATCCTCAGATATTATCCAAGCTTCTGTACTGAGAGTCGACTTGTAGACAGGGACCGAAAATGAATAAGTCACTGGTCCCAAAATAGAACTTTGTACAGAGGTGCAGCAGTTACCACACTCCATGTAACACACAAAAAAAGATAAAAGAGAGAGAGAGAGATTCAAAAGCTCGATGGTAAGCAGAAGTGTGAGGTAGAAAGAAAGAACAGTAACATGGGAAAACATTGGGCTTTAATGGATATTGGAAATTATAAAAAGTGAACGCATATGCGCCAACGGAAAACGATTTCGAGCCACATCACCAATTGTCTCCAGCCTTCATTGGTTCTTACCATCCTGAGGACCCCAACCAGCCAGGTTGCCTAACTCCTCCTACGTGGTTAGCTCTCACTAACTGCCAAAGATTTCATGGACTGATGCCAGGGTTTAGTTTGACCACCAACCAACAACCTGATCTTATGCCAGCCAACATTGCCTGTTGTAGAAGGTGACAGCTAGGACATGGCTGGCTAGCTATCACAACCTGATTGATTGACTTTCCCTACTTACGTAACACTCGACGCCTAACTTCAATATTACTCAACCTGTTATACCAGCTGATACGACAGACAGAAAGCAGGCATCTACGACCAAAGACGGATAACCTTTCCGTATCTTCCACCTTCAGTAGCCATATCGCAAATTCATAAAGCAGGATAGAGAGAACTGCTGAATAATGCATACTACCTTTGATCGATAGAGGGATATCGCATCTATGCCAGAGATAATGTAAGTTGGCGAATCCCATGTGAACATTTTGCCAACTTACATCATCTCTACCATAGAAGCCGAACATTTTGGTTAAATGTAATCAAGAAATGAGAAATACAAAATAAACTTGGACAAATAACACTTGCTATTAGGTGACTGACTGCCTGTATCTGTCTGTTTTCGACATAGAACTTTGCACCAATGTGAAGCAGTTCAAGTCGCCCCTCTCCCTCCATGTAGCACACAAAGGAAGAGAAGAAAGTAGAACAAATGCATAATAGAGACAGTAAACAGAGGTGTGAGATAAACGAATAGGTGACTGAAGATACCACCCACGTGTTCAGGCTACACATTAGCAAGAGGAGAGGATTTGGACCGTGAAATGAATACTGACTGAAAGACAAGTGATTAATCCGAATATAATAATAATAGCTTTATTCCAAACAGTATTTGTGGTACACGTATGGAATTTTTCAGCGTGCATTACAATATATTGCATCTAATTACCTCATAAATTTTATAAGATTTTAAAATCAAAAAGCAACACAAAGAAGATAAATAAAAAAATAAAAACAACAGCGTTGTGTTTACATTTCAAACAATGCACCACAGGATATGAAATATAAAGTTGATGTGCGATAGAAGATGAGAACAACAGTGTAATAGTAACGAGGAAAGGAAAACAAAAACTAATGGGACTATTTGTTAGAGTGCCCGCAGTAAGTTGATCGTGTCATACCTAACGGATTTCTCATCGCATAACAGCTGTGCCAGATAAGGTATTGTGGAGTTTTTGTATTTGGTAGTCCTAGCATATAGCCGCCTATAGCTGCTTCTAGTTCTACCAGATGAAATGCAAAGAGACAGCCGCGCATAGAGAGGATCCTCGGGGTCTGACAATATTGTATTCACCAGTTTCTTACATGACATTGTATGTCTATCCACAGTAGTGTTAACCAGTTGGTTTAACGATATCCCACTTGCCCTGCTGACGGCTTTTGGTGCCAGCCCTTCTCACCAAAGCAAAGTCTTTCTTAAGTAGTCCAGGAATGATTAATGGGGAGCAGTAAATGGGGATGGGTAGAATACAAGAATTGACAAACTGAGAAAGCAAAGACTGCCCTATGCCAGGCTGCCTAAATTTCCTAATGTAGAACGTTAAGCGAAACATCTTTCTAGTAACTAGAAAGATGTGGGAGGACCAGGAAAGATCGGTGGAAAAACTCAGCCCAAGGTACTTGACATTAGATGTATTTTCAACCTCTATGCCGTCAATGATAGTGGGGCCATGTGACCTAACAAGTTGTTGTAGGTCACGTTTACGTCCGAAAGTGGAATTGGCTACCTGATATTTAGACAGATTAAGCTTAAGACCGTTTGAAGAGGACCACCGACTAATTTCCGATAGAAAGTTATTTAACTTGGAACAATCTGACTGAGAGTTGAAAGACATAGAAACAGAGAGGTCATCAGCATGCTTAACAAAAATGGCTACATCAGAATGGGAGGGCAAGTCATGTAAGAAAAAAGAAAACAGAAAAGGAGAAAGAACGGCACTTTGAGGAACACCAGCTAAAGTAAGTGAGGTAGTGGAGGACTTTCCATTGTAGACGGTGTACTGCTTCCTATCATAAAAATAGGAATGCAACCACTTATTTGTCCAGCTCTCAGCCTATGTTGTAGCAAGCTTACTTAGCAAGAGAGACCTAGAAAAAGAGTCAAATGCAGATGTGTAATCAAGAAAGGCACAGCGAATGTATTTAGCTCCTTTATCTAAACTAGAGACTATACTATGATGTATGTATGATGAATGACTTTCATCTCTATAAAAAAAGACACGCAATAGAGGATCAGCACTTACCTCAGGCCAATCTTGATCCCTTGGCCATGTTAACAGCTTAAGATAAGCTTCACGTAATATATTATTTGGTGTTAATGATGCCATAGAATTATCCTTTGTTGGTTTAACTCCAGATGAATTAATAGAATTAGAGCATTCATTAGATTGTTGTGATAGACTGTTAACGTCAGCATAGGCTTGTTTAATCCAATCACGTGTATGCCTTAGACCATCAATGCCAAGTTCTAAAAAGGAAGAATCATCAACGTCACACCATCACCATCACCATCACTAGCAACAACGACATAACGACGAATATGATTTTTACAAAAATATGGTTGTCATTAAAATTCAAGCCAAAGTGGGCCCCGCCCTCTTCGTCTTTTACATCCAAAAACATTAAACTGGCCATCCATCAAAAGATACAATATCCACTACCTCATATCACTACATACAGACAGACACCAATTCGATTGGAATAATATTCAAATCTTAAACAGTGGGAACACCAAAAATGTCAGGGGATTTCTAGGAGCCTCGTATTCAAGTGAACTAATCGGCAAATCAATAGAAAAAGTTTGTTTCAATTCACAGATCGATATCAGTTAGAGAGAACCATTGGAAACCTGCAGGGTGTGCTGGACAGCTGTTTCATCCTAGTTTGTGGCTCGTCGGCAGTACGCACCTACCACCAGGGTTTGAACCGATGACCTCTCGGCTATCAGATTACTGGGACTCAACTCAATGGTTGAACAGTCTACGAGCTTGCCTTGTAACCGGAAGTTACTGAACTCTAACCCTGGTACTGGGTGTGCTTACTGCCGATGAGTCCCGAACTAGGAGGAAACAGTTGGTTGTTCAGGACTGCAGTACTGGTTTTCAATGGTTCTCTAACTGATATCAATGCATGGTAGTACTTGAAAAAAAATCAAATCCCTAGAAAAGAACTCTTGTAAATAGACAAAATTTACCACTTCATAGGGAGGAAATCACATAAACCTAAGGTCAAACAAATTTCAGGTAAACGAAACAATCAATACTAATACAAATGGACTAGAGGGTGAGAAAAACACACACAGAAACAACCAATCACGTTCAAGTTTACTGGGAGAGATGACCAATAAAAGCTTACTTCAAATTGAAGCATGCGCTGAGGATGTCGCTTGAGTAAGGGGTAAAGAAAGCTGCGCAACTAAACTTCCCAACTCAGAGGAACACATTTTTTTTATTCCTTTACATTCCCAGTGGAACATAGGACTTCAAGTCAAGCTGGAGGTTTGAAGTTTCGGTTGCAATGGTGTTTATTTTTACTTACGGGATGGGTTGCTAGCTGCTTCATGCCCAACCATCTTTCCTTTTTACCAGTCTTATTACTGGGTTAGCGATTCTGCTGAATATTATTATTCCCTTGGGTTCCTAGTGGGACATAGAGAGAGCTGTACTGACACATCGTAACTTTCTCCTATTTTCTGCTATCCTCTTCAGATTGCCAGCTTCACGATTCCCCATAATCTCTTATCTCTTCCTCCTACATAAACGATCTCCTCCTACATGTCACTGTCGCACTGACTACCCACTCGTTACTTCCACCATTGGGATTCCACTCTAGCAGTGGTCTGCATTGGGTGCGATGTCATTCTACGGCCTCCTCAATGTATGCCTTATGAAACTGCATTTCCTCCTACATATTTGCTGAGCGATCGGCTCTTGATTGGTTTGTTCCTAGTTAGCAAGAGTTTCTTGTCACTAATCCTTTCTGGCCGGCCAACTGGCCATTTCATCTTCCGTATGGAGCCAGCCAGCGAAAGGGGAAACTGTTGATAAAGGTCTGTAACTCGTTGGAAATACTTTTCGTGACGCGCAGTGTAAGTTTCTGACCCGTATACAAGAACTGGGTGACTTCACATTTGTGTTCAAAATCCGAATCTTGTTTTTTTTATACTGAGTTATTGCACATGATTTCCAAACTGGTTTCAGGTTAATGAAGGCGTATTTTGCCTTTCCAATTCTGGTTGGCTGGCTGGCTTTAACACCTTGATCCGTGCCGTGTGTCTGTGGTTGAAACCGTACTTCCTAGATAAGTGAAGGAAGTAACCTCTGTCGAATCTCTCCCCTTGTTGGCGGTTGGTGCTGGTTGTTGGTGCCGCTGTTCACCTGAAGTGCTGTCTTCGTTGCTTCTTCAACCAGTTGGTTGTTTTTCACCTACAAGCCTTCAAGTTTGTGTGACACTAAACATAAATCATCCACGTGCGAAATCCAGTCCCCACCACAATTAAGAATGTCTGTCTGTCTGTTTTCGACATAGAACTTTGCACAAATGTGCGGAAGTTCAAGTCGCCACATTCCGTGTAGCACGCGAAGCAAGAGAAGAAAGTACAAGAAAAGCATAATAGAAACAGTGAGCAGAGGTGTGAGACAAAGGAGTAATAAAGAAATACAAAACAGTTTCATTGAAGATCATAAGTCACAGGGAGTGGATGCATCTGCGCCACTGAGAACGATTTTGAGCCATGTCACCAATTGTTTCCAACCATAGATTTTTACCGTCCCGAGGACCCCAGCCTGGAAGTCTACACCTTCCTACGTGGCTTAGACCAACTGTTGTGGATTTCATTGACTGATGCCAAGTTTTTGTTTGACCGCCGCTAGCTTTTTTCCAGCCTGACCCTATATCCGCTAACATTGCTCGTCGAGGGAGGCGATGGCTTGGCATACGTAACACATGTCCTAACCATCTCAGTCTTTGTAGCTTCACGACTTCGTCGATTGATTTCCCCTGTTTACCTAGAACTCTACGCCTAACCTCCATGTTGCTCACCTTATTATGCCACTTTACACGGGAAATAGAACGCAGGCACCTATGATCAAAGACAGCTAGTCTTTTCATGTCTTCCACTCTCAGTGGCCAGGTCTCACAACCATAAAGGAGGACGGAGCGGACTGATGAGCAGTACACCCGCCCTTTGGTCGATAGTCGAACATCTCGTCTACGCCAGAGTCGGCGTAAACTAACAAATGCGAAACGAGCCCCTTGTATTCGTGCTGAGATTTCGTCAGAGATCAGCCCGTTGGGGCTGATGGTACTTCCCAAATAAGTGAAGCGGTCAACGTGCTCTACCACTTCACTTCCTATTTTTAAACTAGGCGTCGATGTAGTCCAGTCCTGTAACATCATCTTGCATTTGGCGGGAGCGAATCGCATGCCAAACATTCGTAGATTGCGGCTCAAGGTGTTTAGAAGACTCTGCATTTCGTCAGCGTCTTCGCCTAGAAGGACTATATCGTCTGCATATTCCAAGTCAACGAGATTATTCCCCGGTAGCAAGTCAATCCCTGAGTCGCTGAAGTCACCTAGGGTTAAGTCCATTAACACATCTATGATGAAGTTGAATAGAAAAGGAGATAATGGGCATCCTTGACGGACACCACTGGTCGTCATCAGTTCAGATGACAGCTCGCCGTAAGCCCTCACCTGGCTGTATGAGTAAGTCGAGTGCCTTAATCAGTGCAATATATTTTCTCGGAATTCCCTTTACAGCCAAGCATCTCCAGAGAACTTCCCGATCGACAGAGTCGAATGCTGCCTTTAGGTCAAGAAATATAATGACTGTTGGACGCCGGTAGGAATGCCTATGTTCTAGAATCTGTCGGAGGGTGAAGATATGATCAATACACCCTCTTCCTGGTCTAAAGCCTGCCTGGCTCTCTCGTGTTTGTGCTTCCCGAGCACCACTCAGTCTACGCATGATTATTGAGCCTAAGACTTTAGATACTATATTAGTCAAGCTAATCCCTCTGTGATTATCACAGGAAGACTTGTCTCCCTTCTTGTATATGGGGATAATCAGTGACTTACACCAACCCGATGGGACTTCTTCTGATTCCCAGACGCTGCCTAGTACCTCAGTTAATCCGGACAGTAAGCTGTCTCCACCGTACTTAAATACCTCTGGAGTCATTCCATCAGGTCCCGCTGCTTTGCCTAGTTTCAGATTGGTGACAGCTTTAGTAACCTCAGTTAGTGACGGAGGACCTGTGTCTATATCCCATTCAGGGAGGTGTTGGATGCTCGGAAGGTTGAGCGTGGCTGTGGGCAAATTAAACTGCTCCTCATAATGCTCTTTCCAACGATCCAGTCGTCTATCCTGGAGCTAATTATAGTGCCATTTTTTTCCGAGATTGTCTCACTGATGATTTGTCTTCTCCCACCCGTTTCCCTGATGAGTCCAAAGAGTTGCCTGGTGTTGCCTATCCTCGAAGCTTTCTCCATCTCTTTGGCTTTTGTCGCCCACCACTGTTCACGGTCCTTGCGGAGACTTTTCGTAAGTTTCCTCTTGTGCAGCTTTCGCTCCTCATTGAATTCGGAGCTCGCCGGAATAAGTCTTCTAGCATCTATCAGTTCGGATGAGGCGGTGGAGATCCAGTGGTTTTTACTCACCTTTGGGTTTACCTTATTCACAGCTTTTACAGCTGTATCTATGGCTGCCTGGATATTTTTCCAAGCTTCTTCAGGGTGAGCACAGCTGTCGAACACAGATATGTGTTTAGCTAGTTCTTCCTCAAATACGGATTTAGTTTCCTGATCGAGCTGGGGACGTGATGGTTTTACCGCCAGCTGTTTCCTACGTCCGTTCAGTCGTAAGCACACCCGAGCGCGGACCAGTGCATGGTCGGTATCTACGCACGTGTTCCAGAAGGAGCGACAATCTCCTACCGACCCACGCCAACGATAGCTTATTGCTATGTGGTCTATTTGTGTCCAGCGTTGGTTTGATGAAGGGGGTCTCCAAGTCAAACAGTGTCTCTCCTTGTGTTTAAAGTTAGTGCTTACAAGAAACAAATGATTATCAGAGCAGAACTGTAGGAGACGGTCACCGTTGTCGGTTCGCTGGCACGGAGCTCCATAGGTGCCACCGACATCCTTCTCAGATTGACACAATTTCCCTACTTGAGCGTTAAAGTCACCAGCTAGAACGACTATGTCTGAGCGTTTAGCCTTTCCACCAAACTAGACAGCTTTTGGTAGAACTCATCCTTCGTTTCATCTGAACTGCAGTCAGTGGGGGCGTAGGCGGAGATTACGAAAAGGCATCGGCGAGTAGTGCAGTCCTTCCTCCTTCTTACTGATCCGTTCAGGCGGACAGCACACATTCGGCTATCTACCGGGATCCAGTCAAGCAATGTCTTTTCTGCCCTAGTACTCAAAGCTATCCCTACGCCAGCTAATCCTCGTGAACTAGCTGTGGCATCTCCTGACACCCTCAAGGTGAATTTTGCAGATTCAACCTGTTGGCCAGGTGGGGTTAGGTGAATAACCACACTTGGGTCTTGTATGCGTGTTTCTGAAACACAGCATACATCAATGGCTCGTGATGCCAGGGTCTTGGCTAGTGATGCTTGTTGTCCTATTTGGCAAAGTGTCCTAACATTAAGAGCTCCTATATGAAATTGGTGGCGCGGCTTTAAGAGGCTGTCGGTGGTGGTTTTTTGGCTTCCATCGTTTTTAGTGGACGCAGAGTGGAGAGGAAGTGGAGAGCTATCAAGTCGAGGAGTTGCATCAGTGGAAGGAAGGCAAGATGATAGAGATGAAGATGAAGACAAAGATGAGTGAGTAATAGAGAGGTTTCGTGTGCATTTCGGATTGTGAGGGCGATTGTTACTTCCCGGCTGCCCACACCGTGGAAGTTGGTTGCGTGACCGCAGAGCCCAGGGGACAACTGCTTGAGGCCGGTCACACGCGGCCTGTTTTTGTTCGTTCTTTTTTGTTTGGTGTGTCTCAGTAGCAGATTTATCACTCCTGCCCTGTGACACGGCAGCAGGAAGCGCGGTCGTTGTTAATCCGGGCCACGGCCGATCCGGCATGAAATTTTGTGATTTTGTATTGGACATGATGTTGGATTGGGTAGCTGCTTTTTGTTTAACCGCTATCCAAACAACCTGCCTGGCATGGTAGTACCTCAAGAGACATAAGTCTCAGCCAGTATAGCTTGAATAGATGATTGCGGTGTTCAATTAAGAATATCATCCGTGGTAATAATGGCCAGCCCCCCCCCAGCTTGACTTACTCTCCTGTGTTCACTTTGAACGCTTAGCTGAGTTTTCTATTGTGCATCACCTGGCACATGGCATTGTCATTTAGCTGTTGGCTTCTCCTGAATCCAAAACATCCTTTTCCAAGAAGATTCAGCTTAATTGTTTGCTTCAATCTTCGTGAGGATATTCCATGTCCCTATGCTGTCGTCGCAAGATGATGATACATTAACCAAATGGTTTCCCAAAGACTTCTAGCAACCAGAGTCGTTTCGTTTCCCCACCTCAAGGAAATAATCAATTTTTTACACATTTTTTCTTCAGTTTTAAGTTTCGCTGTAAGGTCACTACTACCCGCCTACGCTCAAGCTTTCCTCCTTTTTCAGATTTACGATCACCTAAGAAAAAACTGGTGAATAGGTAAACTAGGTGAGGTTAGGTCAAACTTATCGTATATGAATATATATAATGATATATGCATAAATTAAACAGAAATACAAAATGTGAAACAACCGACAGCAAGCAGTCATTTCTTACTTACTTTGTTGAGCTTCTATAAATGTAGCAAATTTATCACGTTCATATGTAACTGCTTGTTGTCTAATATACGGTCGCATTTGCTCTATGGTGAAATTAGCTAAATCCATATGCATTTTATCCAAAAGTAAGAACACGTTCCTGAAAGAAATATATATATGTATACAAATATTTTTTAAGAAAGCAAAAAGGTTTAAAAAGTATGTATGTATCTATTCACGTGACGACATGTACTACTTACTAACTGATTGATATGAGTAGTAGGAAAGCGCTTGTGTTAACTTAATAATGCTTGCCAGCCACCATATTGAAGTGATCTACACCTTGTAGGGCCAATTTGCTGGTTTGGCGACGACAGCATCGAAAGTTTAGGTTGCAACTCAACATAAATCTGACCCTAACATTCTGGTTTCCAAAGGAATTTCAAAGTTTTCGTTTATATAGAAGGGTATTTTTCTCGTTCCTTGAGTTCCTATATCGGAAAATAGGTGTTCAAGAGATTGAAATTAACAGTTGCGATGATGTTTTTATTTTTTAAAGAGTGAGGTTGTCGGGCTAAACTCTGAACCTTCTCTCCTTTACGGGCTTACTACCGGCTGGGAGTCGAATCCAGACCTATTGCGTGACTGTCAAGCATCCCCCACCCTCACACTGAACCAATAACACACGAAAACGAGAGAGTGCAAGGGAGCTGTTTCGTCTTAGTTTGTGATTCTTCAGTAGCACGCACCACCCTTGACCACCCCCAACACCATCAGGGATCGAACTCATAACCTTTAGGAGGTTACTAGGCGAAAACACTAACCAGTCAATATATTTGGAAGGACTTTTGGGCAGCAATTATGCCTGTGGTGAGAGCTGTCTGCAAGCCAAAATTGACGTCAATGTGATCACATCCTAAATCGGGGCCATGAAAGAGAAGTAGCATTAGTGCTGCGTGGCTGTAGAACTTAGAGGACAATTGCTTGAGGCCAGTTAAACACACTGCCTGTTTGAGTTGGGGGATTCGGAGTTGTGTCCATATGATGGTCTTACTAACAGCTACGGTCTACCTCAAAGTAAGTCGGTGTCTACCCATTCAAGCCACTTCTCTCAAGCCATCTCTACAGCAGAGAGGCGATATAGCTGACTTGTTTGTCATCTAACGGAAACACCTCAATACCACTACCTCCCCTATTGGCCAGCAGTACGACCGTACACACATGCTCCCTCCACCAGCATAGTGAAGACGATTTATACTATGGTGGTAAGGACTTTTAGTCTAACTGCCCAGCTAGATGACCTTTCTGGCACAGTAAGATCTACAGAGGAACAATAATTCCAGTCAGTGTAACTACCTGGGTCATTGCGATAGGCGAGACAGACAACCACATCACATTAACAGCAATTAGTCGCGGTTCCGAGAGCCCTCAACTCAATAACTGATGGATAAAACCACAAAATACATGATAAAATAGAAAAAACAAAATAAAGTAAGGATTTTAAACAAGCATGACTAGGTGATTTTATCAAGTGAAATTCAATTTGAATAAAGCGAAAACAACTACTTGATGTAGGAATCTAAATTAATGAAACTATCGACATTCTTTTTCAAAGTCCGGGACTTCTCTCCCTCTACCAGTGCTTTGTATCACAGCAGACACTTTTATGTATAATCTTCTTCCAAAATTATTGCTTTTGTTTTATTCAAAATTCATAAAGGAGGGAATAATTTATTATTTCCATGGTTTCCGAGTGGAATATACGGCTACATAACAGCACATCTTCAATTCCACCTTCTGCAGTTCTTTTTATCTGGCTCCAACTACTGTCCGTTAGCCTTTATTTCTTCCTCACACACGATCTCCTCCACGTTACACTTGGACGCCAAACTCGTCGTTTCCCAGTTGGGTTCCATTCGAGGACCGGGTTGGAGGGTGAAGTTACTCCACGGTCATAAAGGGGAATATAAGCGTAGGAAATTCTATGCTCATATTAATGTAAAACCGTCATCCTGGAGAGAATCAAACAAGCCAACGTGGATGAAAAACTTCGACCGGAACAAGCTGGATTCACTTGAAACAAGTCATGTATTGATCAAATCGCCACAATACGGATCATCATTGAACAAAGCTAGGAATGGCAGTCACCTCTCTATCTCAACTTCATCGACTTTGAAAAGGCCTTCGATAGCGAAGCGTCGACCGAGAGGTGATTTGGCAACTAATTCGCTACTAGGCGGTGCCATTGACAATTATACATCTCATCCAACAGTTAGTTGCACGACAATGCTGCATGCCAAGTAATCCACAACGGGAAACTTATGCAAGCCTTCGAAGTGAGGACGGGAGTAAGGCAAGGCTGTCTACTATCGCCAATGATATTCGTGATTGCAGTAGATTGGATAATGAGACATACAACGGGCAATGAGGAAACAGGCATAAAATCAACTCACACAAAATCAACTTGGAGGATCTGGACTTCGCCGATGATATATGTCTGATTTCCCACAAAATGGAAGATATGCAAGTGAAAAGCAATAAGTTGGCGATAGAAGAAGCATCAAAGATACAACTTCAGGTGAACATAGATAAAACAGATGTGGTGATGAAGATTCCTGGCCAACACCAACAGCAACAACAACAACAACAATCAGCCTGCGTAAATGGGAGGAAACTGAAAGAAACAGCCTCCTTTACCTACCTAACCGGGAAGCATCGTTTCAACTACAGGCGAACGGAACTGACGAGGATATCAAAGCCAGAATTGGAAAAGCAAGACAGCCTTTCATTACTGTTAAGACTGTGTGGAGGTCAACAGCACTCTGCATCAAAAATGAGATCCGGATTTTCAACTCCAATGTGATGTAAGTCAGTGCTACTATAAGGATCAGAGACTTGCACTGCGCGTCATGAAGAGCATCTCATACAAACTACAGACCTTCATCAATAGTTGTCTTCACTCAATACTACTCAAGATCAGATGGCCGACCAGAAAGGATCGGCAACAGGGAGGGATCTCTGGCAATGAGCGAACCAACCAGGAACCGATTGTGCGACAAATAGGCAGGAAGAAATGAAGACGGATTGGCCATACTCTGAAGAAACCAGCAAGTGACAACACAAGTGGGACCCGGAAGGGAAGCGGCGAGTTGGTCGTCCAAGGGTGAGGGTGACTTGGAGGTCATGTGAAGGAAGAGGAGATGAAAGCATGTGGGTGGCAGACTTGGAGCGGAGTGAAAAGGTTGGCAGAAAACCGAAGGCAATGGAGACTTGGGCAGCTGAAGCCCTATATTCCTCTAGGAATTAAAGGATATAATAATAATAAATATAATTAATGTAAAACACACAAAGACAGTAACAACACATACCTAAAAGATTCAACAGGATCATCAATTTTGCGTAAATCTTCAACTTCTTGATCACGTACAGGTGCACAAAATTGTTTCATTAAATTAATCACTTCATTTTTATACACTTCCAGGCTGATATGACCAGTTTCATCAAGTTGTGATTTAGCAACATCAATATCTAATAGATTTTCAATAAGTTTTTGTAATTTTGTTTGATTCGGTAGAACTAATTCTGTTAAAGACTGAAATGATGAAGGGCACAAGGGAAGAAGAAGAACAGTTAGTTAATCTTAACTGATGAGAAGAAATGATTTATACATTTATAGGGAGATCTATTTTAGGAAATATATATATATATATATATATATATATATATATATATATCCGTTGTACTTTCCTTGATTACATATCTGCTTTCGACTCTGTACCCAGAGGCCTTTTGTTAAACAAGCTTAGCCTTACACAAACTGAGTCCTGGGCCATCAACTGGCTGGAATCTTACTTCACCAATAGGATGCAGTACACGGTATATAATAGTGTAGCTTCCTCTCCTTTGCTTACTGAAGCTGGAGTTCCTCAGGGTGCTGTTCTCTCGCCGTTTCTCTCTTCCTCCTTCTTCTTACATGACTTACCTCTCTCAGACGAAATCAACTTCGTCAAATATGCAGATGACCAGACTATTTCGCTTCCCGTTAAGCCTCAGTCAGACTGTTTCAAATTAAATAGCTTCCTGTCGGACATCAGTTAGTGGTCTAAACTAAATGGTCTCATGCTGAATCCCTCTCTGTCTGTCTGGATTCAACATAAAACTTGGCACCCAAGTGCACCAGTTCGAGTTGCCACGTTCCAAATAGCCCACACACAAAGGTAGACACCAAGATGAGTGAAGAGAATCAATAGAGTTTGACAAGTATAAGAGTGAAACAGAATGGGTAATGTAGTAGAAAGGAATATGAAAGATTACAGAGACTGAATACATCTTCGCTGGCCATTGACAACGATTTTGAGCCATGTCACCTATTGTCTCCAGCCATTGATTCTTAGAGTCAGTCCCGGAGGCCCCAACCCGAAACTCTGCATCTCCCTACCTGACTCAGTTTAACTGTCAAGGATTCCATGGATTGATGAGGCCATGTTTTTGTTTGGCCACCACTGGCTCTTTTCCAACCTGCACCACCTATATCAGCTAGTAATGCCCGTCGGAGGAGGCGATGGTTAGGCATGCGCAGCATGTGACCTAGCCATCCCAATCTATGTAACTTTATAGCCTCGTCGATTGATTTTCCCCCTTTGCCCAACACTCTACGCCTAACGTCAACATTACTTACCTTATTAAACCACCTAATGTGAGAAAGAGATCGTAGACATCTATGATCGAAAGCAGTCTTTTCATGTCTTCAACTCGTATTGGCCATGTTTCAGAGCCATAGAGAAGGACGGAGCGAACTGCTGAGCACTACACACGTCCCTTGGTTGATAGCCGGATGTCACGCCTACGCCAGAGATGGTGTAAGTCAGCGAAAGCAGCTCGAGCTTTTTGGATCCGTGCTGAGATTTTGTCGCCAATCACTTCGTTCGTGCTGATACAACTTCCCAAATAGGTGAAGTGGCCAACATGTTCTATCACTTCACTCCCTATCACTAAGTTAGGAGTTGACGTGGTCCAGTCCCGTAGCAGCATCTTACATTTTGTAGGGGTGAATCGCATGCCAAACATACGAAGATTGCTGCTCAAGGTGTTCAGAAGACTCTGCATTTTGTCAGCATCCTCCCCTAACAGGACTATGTCATCTGCATATTCTAAGTCCATAAGACTATACCCTGGTAACAAGTTGATTCCTAAGTCGTTACGTTCAGTTAAGGATACTTCCATTAGCATATCTATGATGAAGTTAAACAGAAATGGGGAAAGTGGACAGCCCTGTCGAACACCACTGGTTGTTGCCAATTCAGATGACAATTCCCCATAAGCCCTTACACGACTACGTGAGTTTGAATAGAGTGCCTTGATTAGTGCAATGTACTTTCTTGGCACTCCCTTAACAGTCAGACATTGCCATAGTACCTTTCGATCCACTGAGTCGAAGGCCGCCTTCAAGTCAAGAAATATGGCAATTGTTGGACGCCGAAAAGTGTGTCTATGTTCTAGAATCTGTCGAAGAGTGAAGATATGATCTATGCACCCTCTACCTGGTCTAAAGCCTGCTTGATTTTCCCTCGTCTGTTCCTCCCGAGTTCTGCTTAGTCTATGCATGAATGCTGAATCCCTAAAAAAATGCCAGACTATTGACTTCTTCTTTAGGCATAAACGAGATCTACAAAAACTAGTAAGCACTCATGAAGCCTGTAGCATTGAGGGGACTATAATTGAAACAAAGTCTAGTGCAAAATACCTCGAATTAGTTCTATCTTCCGACCTTACTTGGTCATTTCATATCCAAATGATTTCCAAGAAAGTGTTTCGTCTAACCTACTACATTAAGAAACTCAGACTAACTGGAGTCACTCAACCTCTGCTTTCACAATTTGTCAACTCTCGTATCCTACCTATTCTACTTTACTGCTCCTCGTTAGTCTTTCCTGGGTTACTGAAAAAGGACTATACGATCCTGAGAAGGATGTTGAAGGTAGTTAGTAGGACTAGCGGTGTAAAACTCAGTCAGCTCGTCACTACATTAGTGGGAAAGCGTCTGAATACATGCGAAAAATGGTCTAAAACCATACTCTCCAACCCCAACACCCTCTCTATTCCCAACTCTCTCCTTGCATGTCATCAGGTGGAACCAGAAATCAGTACAAAATAATATATGCTCGTACAACCAAGTATAGGAACTCAACGATACCATATTTGGCCAGCCCGTGTTCTAAGTGACAGAAACAATGTTAAGCGTGAAACCTATGACTTGCTTTGTTGTTAATAACATAATTCTGGCCCTTGTTATTTCCCCCTTACACTCTCTTATTTGTACTCTATAGTGAACAACCTTCTTAAACATACTTAGCTAATTAAAAATATTATCATTGGCTCACATTTTTATTCTTTATTCTATTTCTTCTTTTGTAGATCTACTGGGTCCAACTATATTATCACTATGATTATTACAAAATTGTCCTGTCATTAACCATCATGCAATATTAGTTTTGTGGTTGTTTTTTGTTCGGCACTATTTAACTGACAATCTTGTTTGTGAACGCCACTATCACCATCTTAAAATTTTTGTATTCTGCATGATTACTCACACTACCACTACAAACACTGGATTAGAGCTGTTGATAAAAAATAAAAACCCTGAAATGTTTTCTTTGTGATTGTTTAGTGTAGTTCAATCAAATTAACTGATCATCTTGGCTATAAACATTCTTAAGAACATCTCAATAATTTCTTGTATGATTATAGGTGTTACTGTTCACCACGCATACACATATCATAGCTTCCACTACCCAATACTGAAACATTTTTTTCATTATTGGTGTTTATCTTCCTTTTTACTTGGTATTTTTATTTGCATTTTTTTTGTTATTTCTGTGTTTCTTTTTTGGTTTTTTGTTGTGTTTTTTTATATTTATTTTTTTTGTAATACTCCTTTTAAATGTACGATGAAATTAGATGCAATATTGTAGATATGTGTGCTGAAAATTCCACACTGTACCACAAGTACTGTTTCTGGAATAAAAGCGAAATTATTATTATTATTATCCAGAAGTTTTCTATTTATTATTAAATTTCCCTAAAGCGAAGAGAATATGTTCACCAAACAAACTAGACAGTGAACTAATGCTTCTTGAAAAAGGCTTGAAAGAAAATGGTTACCCAGAAAAAAATTATCATTAACAAATATGGCAAGAATGAACTCAAGAAACTTGATCCAGCTACAGTCAGTAAGAAGCCTATTTTCATTAAACTTGACTACAAAGGCGACGACATTATGAGAATGGTAAATAAAAGATTAAGCGCAATCCTGTCTAGGATGTATTCTGCAGCATTATTAGTCTTTCTACCCCGAACAACCTCCTCACATGTTACCTCCAACTGTGTATACCAATTCCCATGTATCTGCAGGAGCCGTTGCATTGGAAGGACAGAGAGGAGGGCCTATGTCAGATTCCGCGAACATGTACCAAGAAGCCTCCAGTTAAAGGGACCGAATTGTTTAAGCTCTTCAATCAACGCCAAACACCTGATTGACACAGGACACCGAGTAGATGTGCTGGAATCATTCAAAATAATTAACAAACGAAGTACCTCAAGTCTTCTCAGGTTCGCTGAAGCCATAGTAATAAAACGATTGAAGCCTGACTTATGTGTCCAAAAAGAGTCGGTTGTTGAAACTCAATTACCCTGGTGACTCACTTCTTAGTAACTTTTTGTTTTCTAAATTTGTGAAATTACCTTTTCACTCCACCCCCTCGCTTTATTTTTTCGCTTGACTCTTCTTGATCGTTTGCGTTCTGCTCATTGTATTACATCATCAACCCATCTGACCTCATGTGCACCGAAATTTTGATCTTCTCTTATCTAATTACGTAACCATTACTAGATTTCTTTTGTTATCACCTCAACAACACAACTGTTAATTAACTTTTTTCAAGAAACTTCTCTCTAACAATATATATATATATATATATCGAAACACTTTAGACACCTTGTAAATTGCAACGCCTTATTTCACTATGACGCTCTGAGAATATGCTTGCTGATGGACAAAAGTTTGTTTAAGTTGTCTGTCTGTTTTCGACATAGAACTTTGCACCGATATGAGGCAGTTCAAGTCGCCACACTCCCTCCTTGTAGCACACAAAGCAAGAGAAGAAAGTACAAGAAAAGCATGATAGAGACAGTGAGCAGAGGTGTGAGACAAAGGAGGAGTAATAACGAAGAACAAAACAGTTTCATTGGAAATCATAAGTCACAAGGAGTGGATACATCTGCGCCAGCCATTGAGAACGATTTTGAGCCATATCACCAATTGTTTCCAACCATTGGTCTTTACCGTCCCGAGGACCTCAAACAGTCAGGAAGTCTACACTTTCCTACGTGGCTTAAAGTAACTATTGTGGATTTCATTGGCTGATGAGGCCATATTTTGGTTTGACCGCCGCTAGCTCTTTTCCAGCCTGACCCTATATCCGCTAACATTGCTCGTCGAGGGAGGCGATGACTTGGCATACGTAACATATGTCCTAACCATCTCAGTCTATGTAACTTCACAACTTCGTCGATTGATTTCCCCAGTTTACCTAG